CAGCCCAAGAAATGTCTGCAAAGTGATGAGTGTTCATCCCAAGACGCCTTTCGAGGAGAATTCAGCAGTGTCCCTGGTCAAACGTCATTTTTAATTCTTCGTTGGAGCACAGGCTTTATTCCTCTTGTAGATGATACAATGCCAAGAAAACTCGAACAACTTGCTATCCCGAGAACCGGCCTCCCTCCACCCTGGGCAGGATGGGCAACAATTACTCACGAATATGGTTTAATGCTCTAAGTTCTTCTTTCCATAAGGAGACGCTTAGGAAAAGGCGTTAAAGTTTATCAAGTATGCAAAAGTGTAAACAGATGCTCCTTGAAAATTACTTACTCGAAGGACCAACCGTCAGGAGAAAATACTTTTCCTGACTTCTTAAACTAACAAAGTTTTGAAAATTATATTCACATAAAAACTGTTTCAAAATAAGTTTACCTCCCTGGGGTCGCCCCTCCACCCCTCCCTCCTCCCCCCCTTCTAAGTGCCTTTTTTTTTTTCCTTACAAGTCTGTATTATGTTTCTTCGAGCTGCACCAACTATTTATTTATCTTTATTCTTTCTCTCTTTCTTTTCATTCATCATTCTCTCTCCCTCCTTTTTTTTTCCCCTTTCCTTGTGTGTGTGGCTTCTCGGTCTGATCTGTAGCTTGTTACCACCCACTGCACGCTCTCTCCTGCAGCCGAGGTGTTTCTATACAAACTTCAGCGTCCAGTTGTCATATTAATTATTACACTGAGTAATGACTGAAATAGTCAAAATAAGGGGAGACTCAAGAGAGCTTTTTCTTGCTGCTCAAAGATTCAGCAAAGAAGCCTTGCAACAAAGCACTAATTGGTCCCCAGAAATACTCTGACAAGGCATGGAAGATAGGTTTCATAAAGCCCAGCAATTGTGAAGGGGGAAAAGATCCTTGAATAGACCCCACGCTTCTTTTCTAAACTCTCTTGCTGAGCAAAAAATGGACTGCTTCTTGAATACTGGACTGATCTTGAATGCTATACCCAGCAGAGAAAAAAATGCACCATTTATTGTAAGTTTTTTTTCCAGCTATTCATGTGTTCTATGTGGAGAATAAGCTGGTTTTGTTTACCATGAAAGACCTTTTACTTTATTTTCACTCTTGGGGGGGAAGCTGGAAAAGGGAGGGGGAGGGCGAGGGGAGAGAGAGAAACACATGTGCCCAAATCCAGACGAGCTGCCTACTGTAACAAAATGGAGTGTAACAAATCCTACAGAAGTCCCGAATGTATCGATTCTTTGAAGATCTATATAGATTAACGACTTTCGTTCTGCTTTTCCAAGACAGCATTTAATCATAACGTAAATGGCCTTTAAAAAAGAAAAGAAGTGGAGGGGAAAAAAAAAAAAAGGCATACCAAAGTTGTGTTGTTTTTTTTTTTTTTTTAAAAAAAAAAAAGGCAAGGACTTCAAAAGACCTCATGAGTGTGGCTGCGATTTAGGCACACACAAAAGTCACTATAAAATAACGACAGTTCAAGATTAGAAAAAAATAATAATAAAAAAAGGGACAAAAAAAAAAAGCCCAATGAAAAGGGGAAGGGCTATTTATCATTATGTTAGAATTAAGAATTTCAAAGTGCAGGTGCAGGACTGCATACGAGTGGATGGAGGCGGGGGACCTTGAAACAATATTTATCTCTAAATCTGGCAGCCCCAGACCCCTTACTCTGCACAGTGAGCAGACAGGGGAGCTGGCAAGATTGGTATTACCTCAGACAACTCAGAGGAGTGAGTTTGTTCCCCGGTGGCAGTGGATGGAAAAGGAGGGAGGAAAAGGCTCTGCCCCCCATCCTTCCCTACACACAAATATACCTGGAGCAGAGGTAAACAAGCAGGTACAGGACCACAGAAGCAAAATTACATGGGAGTTACACTTCATGACCTCTGGAACTCATGGGTTTTGTCTTTTATAGAGCCCTCTGAGACTAGAGAAGGAGGGACCCAGAAACTCCATTCTCATTCTGCCATTTCAGGGAAAAAGGGCAGGAATGTCTCTACGTGGTGTTTCCACACGGTCTGGAAGTGGGCTGCTCCAGAATAATTACACGGCTTAAATATACATATAGTTTACAGGGCTGCAATTATTTTTCTGTTACCACTTCCCAAAGTCACAACATGGAGCTGGCAATGCAACAGCTCTTTCCAGCGAAGACAATTCTGACGTCAGACAAGGGATGTTGAACAAACCATTCAGAAGACTCAGAAATGAAGAGGGAGATCTTCCTAAACAGAAAATAAAAGCAAACATTTTATCCTGCTTAGATTTGGCTGTCCTGCCTAAGAGAGAATAAAATAATTTGAAACATTTCACATGCAGTTAGACAATAGGTTGAAAGTCAAACTCAGTGGCCAGTGAAGAGGGCTCTGATACAAGCATGTCAGAGGTTAGACCATATGGAACTACTCCACCTTTCTCATCACACGTGCATTAGAAGCTGCCATGTTAAAAAATTACTAAAATACTAGCTAACAGGTGCACATTAAGGTTCTCCTGTATAATGTTGCTGCTTAAACTCATGTGCATCACTGTTTAAACTCATGGGCAAAACCAGGGTCAGGGGTCCAGTGGCAGATGAGAAGAAGTTTCTACAGCTCTAGGCTGCTGTAATTGAGGTCAGTCCATTGAAACCTGAACAGGACTGTGCAGGTCCCCTCCTTCCACACTTTAGAGCTGGTGTGAGCACCAGGGATTAACTCCTCCTACCAGGGACTTCCTAGAGCCATGTTACCCATGGTGACACTGTCATATCATGGGTCTGCTCTTGTTACTTGGTTAGAGAGCATACACATCTGAGTTTACAGAATGGAAAGGTACAGAGAGAAGTGGAGATGAGACAGAGCTGAAGGCAGAAAACATGTTAAAGCTTCCAGAAATACTTGGATATGTGAAAGGCAGGAGGGTAATGAGAGAAGGCCATGCCAGGGTCCTCACTGCTGCTCCTGCCAAAAGCAGGGCCACCAGCACGCCTCAATGTTCAGCCTCACCACGTCTCCCAGGCTGCCTATATTCCCACAGCCCCCAGGGTCACTGTGACCCCCAAGTCCTGACAAGCTCTCAGTACCTCAGCCCTGCTTTTCCATATTTGTCCCTTTTCCACATTGGAGCCACAACTGAGACTTCACCTGGAAGCAGGGCTAATGTCCCCTGCATAGGCCAGGTCCATTCTGACTCCCCAGCAAATGCCATTTTCCGCTTGGACCTGCTTGCACTTTTCAGGGTGCCGGGGAGGGGCAGGGGCTCCGTGAGTTCCCCGGGGCCAGCAAGGTCCTGGGAATAGGATCTGGTAGTGAAGGGTGAGCTGACTTCACACCTGCTTGCTCTGCCCAACATATCCATACTTTATGCTGCTCTACGAGACAAACCCCCTCCCTCTCCTGCCGGACCTTGGCAAGGACCATCCACTTGGGACGCGCCCAAAAGGGGGTTGTTCTTTCTCTCCAGACAAGCTCGCCCCGTGGCGCTCAGCATTCCAGAGGGGTAATTCGAGGTGACTTGTCCCGAGAAGCCTGCTCTGCCCTGCTCTGCTCTCAGCCGTCCTCCTCCTAACACCCACACCGGCTCACCCGCCGTTGTTGCTGGCTAATAGAGCCATCAGCCCGTCCGCGGGGCGTGTGCGGTGCCGGGCACACGCGGCTCCGGTCGCTGGAAGCGGGGGGGACGACGGCCCCCGGGCGGAGGGTCGCAGCAGGCTGGCAGGGCTTGTGAGCCAAGGGAGTGATACCAGAAATCCCGGTGCTACCCAGGGAAAAGGGAAAACCGCCCTTCCGTGGTCCCGCACACAGGGTTTCTTCCCAGCCGTCCCGGCAATGGCAAGGGCGCTTCTCCCGTGGGCACGCACCGGCCTGCCTGCCCACGCCACGGGCCGCCTCCGCGCCCACTCTTCCCGCACCGCGGCTCTCCCTCCTCTCCAAACTCCGGCAGGTGCCTCTAAGGTGGCCCCAGCCCGACAGCGCCCCGACGACAGCCGGCGCAGAGGATGCCCCGCACGTCCCAGTACCGCTCGCACCCCCGGCTGCCCCGGGAGCCACCCTTTCCCTCTCCCTCATCCCGCCGCAGCAGCGCCCCGGCTCGCCCCCCCACCTCCGCGGGGAGCGGCGAGACACGGCAGCGAACGGCGCTCGGGCCCCCCCCTCCCCCGCCCCCC